GAGAGAGAGAGAGAGAGAGAGAGAGAGAGAGAGAGAGCTTATCTGTGCGCGGGTGATTCTTGTTTTCTGGAAAATTAGAAAAATGTATGTATGTGTGTGTGGGGGGGAGGGGGGGGGTTACAGGCGGAAGCTAAAGAGGCATTAAATTAACACCATGCGGCAAGTGTCTATGTATTACATTAAGAGTAACATTGTTCGAGGATCCTGTGTCAGAAACTCCGCAAGTTTAAAAGGACTCGAAAAGAATACTAGGGGAAAATTATCAGGGAGTAGAATGCTGCATTTTTAAAGATCATAATCTTTTTGCCAACCTGCTACCTACAACCCGCTTACAAATACCCCAACATACCTGCCACTGTACTGTCTTCCTACTTAGGTCCTCTCGACACTTGTCTTGGCCCGATAGAATAGGCTAATACTAACCATGTCACCTTAGCAGAGACTGTGCCCACCATTTCGGAACTTCACGGTGACCATAAAGATGGTTCCAGTAGGGAACGTGATAGAGGGTGCCCACGTCCCTCCTGACTCATTGGAGCAGAGGAAGATAGGACTAACGCTAACATTACTTAAACGCAATCCCACATCATCACTCATCACCATCATCTTTTCTAAAACAATCACCGCTCTCAGATCAATGACTTGTATCTATAATCCTGGAATCTCTATCTGCTGTAACAGCTACATGATGTTACACTAAGTATGCACGTAATACACTATTGGACACTATCATACGCACTTTTTTCCACTAATCAGAGGGCGACAATCTCAAATAAATGGGCAAGGGATTAAAAAATAGAGAGAAAAAAGACTTCCCATCTACATCACTTGCGCCCACTCAATGAGGCATCGGGCATCTCTCTTTACATTGTGAGGTCAACATTCTCAAGAACCTTAGAAATAAAAGTTAACATTACAAGGCATCGCCCGCGGGAGTTGAGGGAGACAACTCGAGAAACATCGTATTTTAATTATCACGATAACATAATTATTTCCCTTCTTTCGACAGCTTCCTCGAAAGTACTCAGTCCAAGCTACCATCTTAAAGGCATTCAAACGCCTACACACAAGATCTTGCACAGTCTTTAGCCGGGTACCCCAGCCACTATTACGTGGGTGAAGTGAGGAACATTTGGGTAAAGTGTCTTTTCAGAGGGCACGTCAGCTCCAGACTGGACTTTGAAACCAAACTGAGATCCTCAGATTTTTTTGGTTTTAGTTTGAGTTTGTTTTGTTTTACTTAGGTTTTACGGCACTCGCAACTACATAAGGTCAAAATATGAGCGCCAAGGGGAGAATGTCAACAGAGAAATCCAAACACGGAATCAGACTTACTCTGCTCACCTCTCTAGCCTCAACAGCACAAAGTCTGCTTCGACTATCAAGGCAACCGGGAAATAGCAGTTCACAAGAGAGTAACAAACATACAAAAGAAGTAGAGGAAAATAACGATAGTAAGGATGAGGAAAGAAAAAGCAGCAGTTCCCCCTATGTTGTTCTGGCACAGTATGAGCATGACATTGATAAATCGGCCCATTAACAATTCTACTGTGCAAAAGAACATGTCAACATCCCCCCTTAGGGAATGGCCTAAAGACACTTCAGTCACTAAGCTATCATCTTACTGGCATTCAAACAGACAAGATCTTGCCCGATCTTTAGCCCCGGTGAAGTGAGGAACATTTGCATAAAGTGTCTTTTCTCAGAGGACACGACAAGCTCCAGACTGCGCTTCGAAACCAAACTATTATCTTACGATTTTTTAGTTTTAGTTTGAGTTTACCGCATTTGCAGTGCAATTAGATCATGTAAGTGTCCAGTATTAGAGGAGTCACAAGAGAGTAACATACAAAGAAAAGAAAGAGGAGAGATAACGAAAATAAATATTTGATAGCAAAGAAAGAGCAAACCACAACAGAGCACCCGCTAACCACCAACAACTGAGATCTGAACCCGTGACCTTATAGTTGCTCGCCCAACATGACTCCACTGACCCCCAGCACATATAACTCGTCGAAGAACAAAAAAGTCACAGCAGATAAAAAAATGCAAAAAATATCTATAAAAACACATTCATTATGATTCATGCACACACTAATTTCCACGACAATCTCAGACACCAAAATGCGCAAACCAAATTTCAAAACACATGCACTTTCAGACTAAAAAAATGAAGGAAACAAAACAGATTATTAGTCAAGGACAAAGACAACCACATACTAAAAAACAATGTTACACACACTACACAACACTGTGACACACACACTACACTACACAATACAACAATGTGACACTCACAAAAACATGCAAACAACATTACCACAGAACAAAATGCAAAACAAGCCAACATCAGAAAGCATAATTCCTTCTTTAAAAGATATGAAAAAGCAAACTTGATAGACAAAATAAACTATAATTCTGCTAATTTAATTCTTTTTTCAGCACAGACCTCATTGGCTTTAATATACTAGTATTTGATGTCCAGCTGACAATGAGAAGCATTTGTCTTCCAGTAGCTAACTTCTCTAGCGCAAAAGTAGCTTTAAAACTTTCAACAAGAGGCTGTGACAAAGGGGCTACAAAAACAACACTTTTTCTAAATGTATGAGTTTGGTGAATCAGTCACTAAGTCTCCCTTCTCTTCTGCCGACTCTTTTTCCAACCATTGTGTTGAAAGAGCAATTACACTAAAACTCAGATTCAGTTTCTTTGCAACAGACTTGAATTGTACAACACTAACTCAATTTCAACTGCTTTTTTAACTCACTAGCTTTACTGATTAAAAAAAAAAGACAGCATACTAGAGCCACTGAACCTAACATGGATGAATTCATTAATAAAACCAAGACCCAAATAGAGAGCAAAATAAACCAACGACATGACATACAGAGAACTAAGTTACTACAAAATGCAAAAAAATGCACACATGCATCAAGTCCAGCAGCCAGTCAAACTGAGGCTTACATCAACAACAAGGTAGCAAACTAGCCCTTGGAATGGATTTCAATGGGAAAAATAATTGACTTTTGTTTTATTACCCATTACAGTAGAAGCAAAATTTCAGTTCTCATGGTGCAATTGTTCACAGCACGCAGAGTCTGATAACGAAAAGAACATTTTCCTTTTAAGAGCAAACAATTCTGTAAATTTAGGCGATGCAAACCAAGTATGACTGACCACTAAAAATGCAAAACTAGGGAGTCACCACAATAGTGGGAGACTACAGGAAAAACCAAGAATCCTACCTTTTCTGAGGCGGCTGAAGCAAACTTTGTAGCACTGACGGCAAACATCGACCATCCCTAGAAGAAAGCAGAATAACATAAAAGCTGAAATGTTTTTTTGTAGGGATTTACCAAAAACTAATAAAATGTCCAAACAAAAATGTGATAGAAATCTGGATTAAGTGAAATGTGTATGTGAAAAAAAAAAAGAGTGAGGAAAAGGAGTTTTAAAAATATACCCAAGAAAGAGTGAGGAAAAGAGAGTAAGGGTAAGAATGAGAATCACTCGAGAATATTCATCTTTGCAAACCCCCCCACCCCACCCCACTCCCCTTGAGGATGCAACCACACAACCCACTTCTGCATGAACAATGTTAGAAGAAAAAAAGAGTAATTCAGTACACAGTACCATTTTTTTTTTAAACCCTCGTAACCAGTTGAGCAAGGTCTGTATTAGATGACAGCCTTGGTCATTCCACTTAGCCTAGAAGAGCAATTTTAGAGCAATTTTACTGTTTTCTATTTTTTTCCTCTTCTCTGCTGTTTATCTTTTCTCTCCTTGCATTCCGCCAAGAAGCAGCACATTTACAAGGCCAAGGAAAACGGGCAATTACAGACAACAAAATGGCCACCCACGGTAGAGGGGAGAATGGTTGTCTTTGTTGTTTGTTTGTTTAGTATAGGGTTTTACGGCGCTTGCAACTGCATAAGGTCATGTGAGCGCGCGGGACACACCTAATACTTTTTCGTTGGTAGGAAATTTTGAATTTTGCCCGGGTGACGGCCGAAGCCTACTATTATCGATTTTAGACCACCAAGGGATCTTTAACGTGCGCAACTTGCACACGGGCCCTCCGAGATTTTTTGCCCTTTTCTGAGAAGGCTAGGTGTAGATCTTTCCTACCAGAAGATCAGGGGTGTGGCAGAAAGACAGCAGTTAGGAGGAGCCAAGGAGTAGCAGTAGAAAGGCTGCAGAAAGAGTCAGGAGCCCAGAGGAGGGGGCAAAGGAGGTGAGGGGGTGGGGGCAGAAAGTGGAAATGAAAGCAGACAACAGAACATTGTTAGAGATCAGGAAAGGATGTGAAAGGAGACAATTTTAGAGAAGAAAAATTTTTTTTGGTCGCTACCCGGAATCAAACCAAGGACCTTTGAATGAGAGGCCAACACCTTAACCTCTAGGCCACGAGAGCCCCCTTGGTTGTCTTTGGCAGGTTGACATATCAGGCACTGCGAATAAAATATACAATAAATGCTCTGAAAAGAAGTGGGAAGAGGCCCCTTGTTCAGGTGATTGTCTTGTACAGGTGGCCGTTAGAGCAGGTTGAGCTGTATTGAATGCCACTTGGGCACAGTAACAGGTCCGTTTGTTTTAGTAAGGTTTTACGGCGTTCACAATTACATAAGATCATATGAGCCCCACGGGGTGGATGTCAACACAGAAGTCCTTGCAGGGAATCGGGCTTACTCTTCTCACCTCTCTAGGTTCAACAGCACAAAAGTCTGTCTTGACTATCAAGGCACCCAGGAAAAAGCAGGTCACAAAAGAGTCACATATACATACAAAAGAAGTAGAGGAACAATGGCGATAGTCAGGATTAGAAGAAAAAAAAACTGCAGTTCCCTGTTGCAGTTCAGGTACAGTTATGAGCATGACATTGATGAATCAGCCCATTTACAATTACAATTCGACTGTGCATAAGAACATGTTAATATCCCCCCCCCCCCCTCTTTGGAATGGCCTAAAGACAATTTCAGTCTGCAGCACTGCCCCCGGGGGGGGTGACAGTAATGGGTTCACTTACCGATGATAAAGAAGACATTGTGTTGTCAAAAAAATCGTCCTTTTTCTCAGACTCAAAGGGGGTGTTTCCAAAGCCAGTGTACTTTCCCCCTTGGCTCGGAGGTAAATGACTGAGGGAGGAAAAAAGCCACAACATCCATGTTAAGTTTCTTAGAAGAAAAACTATTTTTAAAAATAATTTAAAAATCAGAAATATTGCATATATGCAATTCACCATCAACTTTGTTAATAACAAATTTAACCCAAATGCTCAAAGCACAATATCTCCTCTAGATTCTAATCTCTGCAAACAGTTTGAGTGCAGATGTTTGCGAACAAGTCACTGAATGAATGAGCTACCTTACAGGTTTTCATCTAGGCAAGCCACTTGTTGGACAGGCATTGAACCAGTGGCATATCTACATTTTCCACTTTGATCCAATCCAAAGGAATTTCACTGATGTGTGCTTAACCCTATCCATACGTCATGTTTTACTATCATACCCATACGACGTGGAGAACTCTGTGCCATCACTTTCCAAAGAGGAAATTTACTCGTTAATCCGATCCGTACGCTTTGCATAGCAGTCTGTCAAAATGATTTTTGGAGAAATACTGAAAGTTTCAAAGAGATCTTCGCACTAGAAGTATTCTAAAATGTGAAGGATACAACCCCTGGGGTACAAAATGACCCCACAACGTACGGACAGGGTTAACTTGTCAGGATCATTTGCAATCCCATTGTGAACAGTTTCTTTGTTCTGCCATCCAGATTCAGTTCTTCTATTAGAGACCCCTGTTACGGCCTCTTGGGACAAGTTGTATATAAAACCACATATCTGTCATGCTTTTTCTTTTGGCATTCTACAATCTACATATGCATTGTACAGAACTTAGACTCTCTTCAAATTCACTGATGCACACAAATCGCGACCTCAGTGCTTTCTTGTCCTATCTCCATTTTTAATGACAGTGAAAACAGTTCATAACAAAGAGTGAGCTTAAGAAGAAGTCACATTTTCAATATTTAAAAAAAAAAAAAAGTCAGGACAAAAAAGCACTGAGGTCGCCATATGCTTATGACTGACCACATAGAGAGAGGTGTTGTCTATTCAAATTGACTAATTCAAATGTAATGATCTTTCTAACATGCAAGCTGCCACAAGACATGTTGAGGACCACCGCCCTGACAGCTTGCATTAAACGGCTCACAGAAGATGGTCCAAAAAACAAAGGGATTGTACATCCCTTACAGCACAATTAAAGTCACTTCAAAGCCATGGTAACACATGACCTGGTAATTAATCCAAGATAGAAAGGCCTTGAGCTCCTTACGGACCAGAGGCCCCAAATTTCCAAACACTTTCACTACCACTCTTCTTAACCCTTCCAGGCCCAGCCATATTTGTTCACTCCCTCACCCCAGTCCCAGCCAATACAGTGCGCAGTATTTCATAAAAAGAGACATGCATTCTAAAAAGTGATGTAGTATCTTTGTAATGAGGTTCAGATAATAACGTATAACAATGTTTGAAGGTAAATGAACGAATATTATGAAAATTAAAGTTGAAATAGGTTAGCTAATTTAGAAAAATGAGCAAATTCGGTACCCCCCGAAACTCAGATTATACGCTCTTAGGACGGTGGGAGGTACAAGCGCTGCTGAAAATATACAAGCATAGGGCTGGAAGGGAGAAAATGGAATGACATGCAGCTCCTCCTGCAACCATAAGAAATACTACATCATCACTGTCATGCAGCTATGCCAGTCAAAACTATCACATTTGGTAGCTTTTAAGCACAAGAAGGCTATCCAGAAAAATGCTGTTTTGAGAAAATCGAAGGTAAAGTTTTTGCCCCTTGTTTAGTTTCTTTAACCCTTTGCCATCATCTTTTTTTGGGGAAAATCCAAAGGAACTGGGCGGTAAACATCAGCAATCGGCGAGAGGAGGTGGCAAAGTGTTAAAATACAAGGAGAGTTTTCTCTATAACCAAACAAATATACACACCAATGAAACCAAACTTCTCCTATAGGTAGGGAAATGCCCACTTTTGGTGTATGTTAAGATTTTTGAAAACCTCCTAAATCTGGGTTTGCCCGCTTGTCCTTAAAAGCCACCAAATGTCACGGTCAACACTAAGGACTTACTCTGGTCTGCTGGCATTTTCTTGTTGGACTTTGCTAAAGTAGTTGTCCTTCTGTCTCTTCACGTAGTCACTGCAGATAAAAGTCAGAACAAAGCATTAATATACAACTTCCATTTGGGCAACAATCTTTCAGCAGGTGCAAAAAAATATCAAGGGCTCTTTAAAACAAGGAAAAATACTGACACAGAGGCAGAGATAAGGACAATAAAAGTTTGGCAGGAAAGAAGGAGTAAATCACACAAGAGCACCCGCCAACCACCCACAATCTTAATAAATTAGCAGAAAAATGAAAAAGGTAAATTTTTATTGGAAAATTCTATTCAGCATTACTGTGATTTTATTGGGTCCTGAACTTGGCTAATGTCATATGTATCACATGACAGGTATACTTTTTGACCCCACTTTAAAAAAATATCATAGGCAAGTTTATGTGGTTATTGAAAACTTTTGCTGGTATTCCACCTTGCAGTAGAAAAATTTCAAACCTTAAAGTGGTAAATCAACTAATCTTTGCACACATGTACAGAAAATTGTAAATCATTATGGAAAACCAAAATAAGAAAGGTGGACAGTTAACTTGTTCAACACACACCTATTGAAATCTGCCAACTAGCACTCTGTGCAGCTCCAAAATGAACCAATAATGCATTTGACGAGAATGCAGTAAGGTTCATCGCATATATGAATGGGACACCTCACTACCATTAATCATGCTTTAATGACAAGTCGTATATAAAACCACACACCTGTCTCGCTTTTAAAAAATTCTACGATCTATAGAAGTATCGTACGGAACTCTTAACTCTCTTCAAATTCACCGATGCACCCATCTTATCACTGACCACACTGAAAGAAGTTTTGTTAACTCAACTTGACCATTTCAAATATGATCTTCTTTCTAAGACGCAAGCTGCTGCAGGACATGTAGAGGAAGTGTGGCCTGAAAACCCGCATTAAACTGCACACAGAGAGTGGTCCAAAAAGCAAAGGATTTTACAACCCGTACGTCATGCTGCATGCTCTAATAAACGTGGTGTGACTCCAATGAGTTAAAGAAGAAAGAGACTGTCAGTCTGCTCACTTGGACAGGGAGTCAGAGTCTTGGTAGCCACTGTTGTAGGAGCCACCCAGGTCTCCAGTGCTGCTGCTGTTGTGAAAACTGCCGCCGCCACCACCACTGTATGACGATGACGTGTTGTTGGCTGACAGACGAGATGTAGACGCGGAAGAGGCCAGACGAGCTGGTTGGAATGCCACGTAGTTTCTAGCAGACGACGACTCTATACTCCATGATTTGCCTTCTGCCACGGTTGACACCTGAGGAAAAATAACAAGACCAACTTTGTTCTTAACACTGTAAGTGTCACTGTTTTTAGTTTTTAGTTTTAGTAGAGGTTTTACGGCGCTCGCAACTGCATAGAGTCATATGAGCGCCAAGGGGTGGATGTCACAAGAGAAATCCTTACAGGGAATCAGGCTTACTCTGCTCACCTCTTTAGCTTTAACAGCACAAAGTCTGCTTCGACTATCAAGGCACCCTGGAAATAGCAGGTCACAAGAGAGTGACAAATATACAAAAGAAGTAGAGGAAAAATGACAATAGTAAGGATTAGGAACGAAAAAGCAGCAGTTCCCTGTTGCAGTTCAGGCACAGTTATGAGCATGACATTGATGAATCGGCCCGTTTACAATTACAATTCTACAATGCATAAGAACATGGTTAATGTCCCGTCTTTGGGAAAAGTGTCACTGAAAAATAGCCTGTGGTGTCAGGAGAGGTGATAAGGTTTCACCATATTATGTTGGAAAATGCTTGAGAACCGGCAAACTAGGCAAAGAAAGATCATTATAAACCTACACATTTTCAGAAAATGGAATACAAACAGGAAAAAGACTTCATTTGTAAAGGCACTGAAACGTCAGGCATTTAAAAAAAATAGCAAGCTCTATGCACTTCACAATCTATACTATTACCCCAGCAGACCTGAGAGCATTCTGAAACAAACTCTACTTCCTGGGAAGCATACAGTGCAAGCAGCCATTTATAGGCACTAAAACACTAACATACTGACAAGCTGTCTATGTCCGGGTACCCATTTCCACCTGGTTGAAGTGAGGAAAATTCGTGAGAAGTGCCTTTCCCAAGGACAACAACGTCGGGCCCGCGGCTCGAACCCCTGAACTTCACAATTACGAGTCCGGTAGCCTATCCACGACAATGCAATGTATCAGTAATTAAATGGCACTAGGTCTACAGCACAAACCTTGTCTCTCAGAAGAGCAGCAGCTTTGGTGTTGTATTTCTCCTGTAGGCCCATCCCTTCTTTGTAGTCAGGCTGAGACTTGAAAAATTCTTTGCACATCCTGTTGCCTCCTGCCTTCATTTTCTCAAGCTCAGAATCTTTCCACTTATCCATTGACACAGACCGGACAAAGCTGATAACCAATGACAAACATTAGAAATAAATATGTTCATACAGTGCAGGCTGAAACATACACAACATGGCAAAGTATCTAAACTTTTTTAAAAACCCATCATTTCTATTTCTACACATAAATCAACATACTTAAGATTTACACAACATAAAGAACTTTATAAAATACTAGAAGAGAATACATTTTCTATCTTGAAAAATGCTCATCAAATTAAACAAAATGTTTCAGACTCAAGGGTCTAGAATAGCTTGGTATCATGAGCGAAAATGTAGCTGCTCTGACATTTTTAACTGGAACAGATCTTTTTGATCTTAGAAGGGGCTCATTGCATACAAGGTAAATAATTTATTGTGAACTTTACCTTAGGTGGACACCTAGGCTACGGTGCTTTCCAGAGCACTCTAGACAGATCCATATTCCATATGTCACACTGACCCATTGAGGGTTGTGAGCACCGCATTCAAAGCAGTTCTGAAAAAAGCATTGTTAACAACTTAGGAGGAGTCAAACAAACCTACACAGAAAAGCAACACTAATAATTGCATGAAAATTTGTTGAATTGCCTCTGGAGCACAACATCACTGGAACTGCCTCTGATCCTGAACGGTCCAAAAAATTACTCCTTCGCATGGAGTCCGATTTCTTGCCCAAAGAACAGCGGTTGGTTGGCAACTTCTACATACCACACTAATTTAAATATGTTATAATATAAATTATTAGGCTAACTTATTAACTAGTTAGGCCAACTAGATCTAGATTTCTAGATCTAGATTCTAGGCCTACATAGGGGCCTACCTTCAACTTCAGCAGGTAGATCTAATGGGATAGTCCGGTTGTGGCCCCCAACAACAATGACATAACTATGGAGTGTGGGTTTTGGCTTCAAAGACAATTAGATCTAGATCTAGACTTTACTTATAGTTATAACCCATTACTTATTCGGCAAACATGCCGATATAATTATTATTATAACATGATGATGTTTGACGCTCAATGAGCAAGAGACAACAAACCTTTGAAATGCAATACATCAAATTACACACACATGATTATGGTTAAATTCAAGGGGGGGG